GGTGTAGAAAAAATCGGGGGACTCAAAATTTCAATCCGTGATGTGACCTTTATGGTCGAATATCCGTGAGTTGACCTTTAAGGTCAAATATTTTTAATAAGGTATATATTAGGGAACTCGAATATTTGACCCTAGCTATCGAATGCTACCATCAGAAATTGGATCGGACGATCGGTGTAGAAAAAATAGGGGGACTTAAAATTTCAATCCGTGATTTGACCTTTAAGGTCAAATATTTTTAATAAGATATATATTAGGGAACTCGAGATTCTTACCCTAGCTATCGAATGCGACCATCAGAAATTGGATTGGACGATCGGTGTAGAAAAAATAGGGGGTCTCAATTTTTCAATCCGTTATTTGACCTTCAAGGTCAAATATTTTTAATAAGGTATATATTAGGGAACTCGAGATTCTGACCCTCCCTATCGAATACGACCATCAGAAATTGGATTGGACGATCGGTGTAGAAAAAATAGGGGACTCAAAATTTCAATCCGTGATTTGACCTTTAAGGTCAATTTTTTTTTAATAAGGTATATATTAGGGAACTCGAGATTCTGACCCTAACTATTGAATGCGACCATCAGAAATTGGATCGGACGATCGGTGTAGAAAAAATAGGGGGACTCAAAATTTCAATCCGTGATTTGACCTTTAAGGTCAAATATTTTTAATAAGGTATATATTAGGGAACTCAAAATTCTGACCCTAACTATCGAATGCGACCATCAGAAATTGGATCGGACGATCGGTGTAGAAAAAATAGGGGGACTCAAAATTTCAATCCGTGATTTGACCTTGAAGGTCAAGTATTTTTAATAAGGTATATATTAGGGAATTCGAGATTCTGACCCTAGCTTTCGAATGCGACCTTCAGAAATCGGATCGGACGATCGGTGTAGGAAAAATCGGGGTCTCAATTTCAATCCATGATTTGACCTTGAATATGACCTTGAAATTTGAAATGAATACGATATTCGGAATCAGCGTCCCAAACTGCATCGGATAGGTTGGGTTTAGTTGAAATTCGGACTCGACGCTGAATCCGTCGCGGAATACGACGCTAACTTCACGGACGTCTGTCACCCGACGTTTGAGAAAGGTTAGTTTGACCGTTTCGTCCAAAAGAGGAGTATCTCAATATCTCCTGTCGACTTATAATGAAGTCGAGGCTTAATATATACATTGACCTGACCTTAGGTCACCGTTATGAAAAGTCAAAGATATGCATTTTATACATATTGGTAGGTCAACTCTTATCGATCGCTGAAAGTTTAAAAGCGATCGTTTAGTCAGTGATGGTAGGTATGGCGACTGGCGAGCATTAGAGCTTTTTGTGAGGTAAGGTCACTTGACGGTAGTGACCTGACCTTAGACGACCTTGTTCTGAAATTTTCACATGTGCAAAAAAGTACGGTGTGATAAATAAGACATGCCAAAAAATGAGCCAAATGAATGTGTCAAATGAGCCATAGATTGATCCTAACCCTCGCCGGCCGAGGGGGGGGGGCGGGTGCCGCCCCCCCCCCATAGGGTTTTTTTCGCGATAGCTCCGAACACACTGGCGATAGAGAGCTGAAACTTGGCATACCTGACCTTTGATCCAAGCCGCATCTTTTGACACCAACCGCATTTTTGGGTCAGGTCAGGTCACTGACCTATGACGTCATAAGCGAACCTCTGCACGGTCTTCAGATGTCGCAACTTCGCAACGCCCTCACTGCCAGAGGAGATGTCACAGGGAAATGAAACTTGCAGGATCTAGTATCCATTATGAGTCTCACAACTTGTATATCTCGGATTTTTCCTAAAGGTCATATGAGGTCAGGTCATTTTCGTGACCTCACCATTATAAGTCAATGGGGAAAAATTCAAACTGCTATTCTGGCGCCGGGAACGATCTCCAACTATCTCAAGCACACAGAATCGTGATTTGATGCACTCCTTGCAAGGTTAGATGCGTCACTTTTGCAATGTTGACCTTGCGTGACGTCATTTATGACGTCATCAAGGTCATATTAGTTTTTCGTCAATAACTCTTGATCAAATTGAGCTAGCGAGTCGGGAAAGCCACCAATGGACTCAGGAAGACCTGCCGAATCGAATGATATGCGACATGACCCCTTTCGACCAACTTCGTGACCTTAGGGTGCTGACCTGACCTTGACCTGAGGTCAACACCCCAAGTTGACCTGACCCGAACAAAAAGTATATCATTCGACGCGCCTGAGCGAGGCGAACACGATGCTGCCAAAATTGCGGCTCTGCGGCCATTTTTTGCGAAGTTATTCACCAAAAACTGAACCGTACCTTGGGGCACTTGACCTGACCTCAGAAGTCACCGGTTGACCTAGGACCTTAAATTTGGGTACCAATCTCTGCGTCTCGTAACGGCGCACACGCTCGTTTTTTCCGCGACGCGCTAGCTCCACCAGGGGCGAAACGGCGAGGGGGGGGTCGTACCCGCCCCCCCCCCCCCCCCCCTTCGGCCGGCGCGTATGTAGAAAACCAATAGGTCCGGCGAGGGTTAAAACGTCGAGTTGAACATTAGACATAAAGGCCCATGACATGACCAAAACATGTTGGATATAAGCTATTCCGTAAAGACCCGTATCCGTTTGAGGCTTGAGAGTTATGGCACGATTCTCGTCCAAAACAGTCGCAGTTTAATGTTACCCTACTGATTTAAGATAAAGAAGCAGAAAATTGACCTGACCTTAATGATCAGTTCAATCGTCGTCGGTATGATAAATCGGAAATAGAAGTTTCATTTATCATGTTCCTATATCAACCGTTAAAACTTAACCCTATTAGTGGAAGGGGGGGGGGCTGTTTACGACCCCCCCTTGATATCTCGAGATCTAATGGGCCGATTCTCAAAATTCAAACGGCATTCGATTTCGCTCAACGTGATCTACATTTCTAAAAAATAAAAATTGAAAAAATGTCAATAAGGGGGTAGAGGGGGGTAAAAACGGGCAAATTGCAGATACATTTTAGACTGTTTATCACGGCCAGGTTTCTGAACCAATCTTAACGCAACTTTTGCCGATCGATAGAGAATGAACCAGGAATTCACATGGATCCTAAAAATATGCATTTTCAAAAATCATAGGCGGATACAGATCATTGAGATTGGAGGTACACAAAAACTATAGTAAATAAGGTTTTTGTTGGTACTGTTTCTAAAAAGGGTGGTAATGGTCTTGTTATGTTACAATTTTCTTATGAGAGAACGACTACAATTGTATTGGTCATGCATAGGCGGTGTCAGGGCACCTATGTTGGGAGGTAAAACATAACCCCCCTTTTTGGACGCCTGGATCCGCCTATTATAGCAAAAACGTGTCAAAAGAGGATGCACAATAACTTTGTATATGTTATCACATGATACCTTTCATTCACTGTTCGTAAAACTGGTGCAGCATCGTGATCTTCGCCCAAATGACTCGCTTCACGAATAGGACCCCCCAATTCCCAGTGCTCTGGAGCCGCCCCTGGTAAAGTTATGAACTTGAAATTTTCAGGGAATGTGCCCAATTTAGTTTTAGGAAAAGTCAGAAAATTTCAGCATCGTAGCTTCAGCGGTTTCGGAGATATTCCCGAAAAACCTGAGGGGTGGATGAAAACAACCCCCCTGCCACTAATAGGGTTAAGGCGATCTTAACCCGCGCACCGACGGGGGGGGGGCGGATATCCGCCCCCCCTGAGGTTTTTCGCGGATAGCGGGAAAACCGCGGCGCGTAGCGCCGCGAAATTTGGTATGACTATTCCCTCATCAATTTTACACATGGTGTGCAAGTTTGAACCTCCTAACTTTTAAGGTCAGGTCACCAGGTCACTTTGAATGACCCAACCTCAAGTCACTTTTTTGCAACTTTGTCACCGTGCCAGAGCTACAGTAGATGTCGGAGGCCTTTGAAAGTCGCAGGATGTTATAAGGTCATTAGTAGCTACAATTTGTATATCTCGGAATTTTGATGTCGGTGACCTAAGGTCAGGTCAATTTCGCGACCTCCCCATTATAAGTCAATGGGGGAAAAATCAACTCCCTGTTTTTACCACTAAAACGGGTCGGAATGGCCCCATATACCATACATGACTTCACATACGATCAACCTTCACTACCTTGAGGTCTGTTTTGCTGTTGGGCAGCTGTAAGGTCATGTGACGTCATCAAAGGTCACCAAAGGTTTTTTTTGCCAATAACTCCTTACAGGAATAAGATACAGCCGCGCGGATGGTCTCATTGTGTTCAGCTCGTCAAGACGCATCGAATGATATACATGATGACCTCGAGGTCACGTGACCTGAGGTCAACCTTTGACCTTGACCTTTCGAGGTCAACATATATATCATTCGATGCGGATTGACGAGAGGATCACGATGATGCCCTTAGTTTGTTCCTATCTTGACTACTTCGAAAGTTATTCGAGAAAAACCCTATCCATATCTAGCGCCGCCATTTTGACTTTTTCGACCCCTGTGACGTCATCTTTGACCTGACCTGAAAATGACCTTAGTAAAAATTGTAGACCTTGTCCGTGCGTATCCGATGCCGTTTACCGCTTGTCGCTATCTTGCTTCGTTCTCGAGATCTCAGGGGGGGGGCGGTCATCCGCCCCCCCCCCCCCGTCGGTACTAAGTTGGCGCAGACCCCCGTCGGTGCGCGGGTTAAGTCGGTGCAGCTATGGCGATCACGTATTTTTTTCTCGATGTTAAGACAGTTGACTTGACCCGGTGACCTGACCTCGAACGACTTGAATTTAATGCCTCCACAAAATGTGAGGAACAGTTACATCATAAATTGTGAGGAGAAAAACGGTGGCAGGTGGCGCCGTTTCACCATTTTTAAGCCTTAGATAAGGATGACAGGATGCGTAAAACGTTGACAGGCGGTGTCTGGTCTGGCCTTTCAGTGTGGAATGTGCTGCATGATTTTGGGCTCCGACTGCTGGGTCGCACGCTTTAATAATACACATTTACCCCTATTTCAGGTGCGGTCAGTAGGCAGTGCTGGGCCGGTTGCGTCCTCCTTCTGTCGCTGGTCGCGCTGTCCAATGGCGCGCCGCCGGCCGCCCCGACGACCAGCGAGGACGCGGCACTGCTGGCCGAGCTGGAGGGCACCGCGGCCGACCCGGACCTCTTCATCGAGGTGCTGTCCAGCCCGAGCTCGTGCCACGTGCGGGTGGACGGGCGCACCGTGCTCTACCGCCAGAAGCGGGACCCGCCCTCGGCGCAGACGGACACGGCCATGTGGGACCACACGCTGAACGGCATGTACGTGGTGTCGCTGCACCCCTCCACCGGCGCCAAGACCGGCGAGGCGTACGCGCGCGGCGACGAGCCAAACGCCGCGTTCGCTGCCATGGAGGAGTTTGTGAGGAGCGTGCAGCCGGGCCGGCTGCTGGTGCTCTGCGTGCTGGCAGAGGCCTCGCTGTCGCTGGACCGGCCGGCCGTGGCGCTGCTGCGCGCGCTCAACTCCAGCTACGCGCCCGACCTGCAGTACCGGTCGCTGTTCGGCATGGCGCTGGTGCGCGGCGGCCCGGTGCTCGCCGAGGGATACGTGCTCAACCTGGACGCCGTGCTGTTCTCTCCGCCGGGCGACCTCCGGATGACGGCGCGCGCGCCCCGGCCGCCCGCCGCCGCCGGCTGCCTCCGCGGACAGCGCGCCCGCTTCTGCGAGCTGCACGACGGCTACCGGGGCCTGTGCGACTGCGGCTCGCCGGCGTGGCTGCGCCTACAGCCGCGCCCGCTGCCCGGCGGCGGCCTGTTCCCGTACCCGATCGTCATTGTGGCCAGTAATCGACCCAAGTACCTGTTCCGCTGTCTGGCCTCGCTGCTGGCCAACCGCGGCCTGGACCGGCAGCGCGTGGTCGTGTTCGTGGACGGCGACTACGAGGAGGTGCGTCAGCTGCTGGATCTGCTGGACGTGCCGCTGCACCAGCACCAGGTGGAGCTGCCCACCAGCAACGCCGGCTCGCGGATCGGCGCCATCTACCGGTACACGGTGCAGCGGGCGCTCCAGATGTTCCCCGAGGCCGACAAGCTGGTGCTGCTGGAGGAGGACCTCGAGGTGGCGCCCGACTTCGTCAGCTTCTTCGATCAGACGCACCACCTGCTGGACGTCGACCCGAGTCTGTACTGCATCTCGGCCTGGAACGACCACGGCTACGAGCACACGGTGGGCGACCCGTCGCAGCTGTACCGCGTCGGCTTCCTGCCCGGCCTCGGCTGGATGCTGAAGCGCTCCTTCTTCTTGGAGGAGGTGCTGCCGCGCTGGCCGCCCGCCTGGAGCGAGTACGACTGGGACGTGCTGCTGCGGCTGGACCAGTTCCGGCGCGGCCGCGACTGCGTCATCCCCGACGTGTCGCGCACCTACCACTTCGGCTTCATCGGACAGCACGTCAACTCGGGCATGCAGTTCAAGATGTACTACGACCACGCGCTGAACCGCGACCCGGACGTCCGGCTGCGGAACGTGGACGACATGATCTACCACCGGTACGAGGCGCAGCTCATGGAGGAGATCAAACACGCCCGCATGATCGACGGCAGGACCTACAACAACGAGAGCAGCTGCGACGGCGTGCTGCCGCCAGAGCCCACCAACCACACCTACGTCATCTTCATCGTGATGGAGAACGCGCAGGACGTGCAGGCCTGGCAGAAGGTGTCCACCTGCCTGAACCTCTGGGACCTGGACGTGCGCGGCGACCACCGCGGCCTCTGGCGCTTCTGGTACCGCGGCAACCCCATCATGGTGATCGGCTCTCCGTACGCCGAGCTGAGCGCGTTCGCCGTCCACGAGCACGGCGAGGCGACCATCTGGGGCGGCCGGCGGTCGGCGCGCCAGGCGCGGCTGGGCCGCTGGCCGCCCGGTCTGCACCGCAGCCGCTCCAGCGACCGCACCGACCGGCTGCGGCTCTCCAGCGCCGCCGTCCGCCGCGCCCAGATGGATGTCCACTGAGCACAGATGGACGTCCACTGAGCGCAGATGGACGTTCACTGGGCGCAGATGGACGTCCACTGAGGGCCGATGGACGTTCACTGAGGGCCGATGGACGTACACTGAGCGCAGCGGGACGTCCACAGAGGGCCCACAGCAGGGGGACGTCCAGTGAGGACGGGTCACTGGTCAGACGCATCAGACGCAGCGTCCAACTACCAGGAGTGCCGTCTACGCAGGTTACTCGGCTCATGGAGAGTTCAGGAATCAGTGATATGAACAGTTTCTTCTTCAGGAAAGGTATACTTATTCATGACTTGTTGGATGTCTCTGCGAGAATGCTCAGGAAACATTGTCATTACTGGCAGCTTTCGTAGGAAATTGTAGTGATATGGTTGGCTACACCGGCAGCCAACATTACGATCCATGAATGCGTTAAATTGTTAATTAGTCCGCAGGGCGGCTCGGGAATCTCTGGTATCTCAGGATTACGCATACTTATCAAATACCTGCGAATGTATGGTGTGCTCAGGAACCCGGCGAATTGTTAGAAATCTTTGCAGGGAAAGCTCAGGAATATGTAGTTATCGCAACGAAAGTATCAGTTATATCGTTGATCGTTTGCTTACTCTGCACGGAGGGCTCAAGAATCTGTAGAAACTTCTGTGGAGATAGCCATCTCAGGAATGTTGCCATAATTATTGCCGCATCCCGCGCTCCCGGCTCGAGTTACCATGGGACTTGTGCCATCTGATGTTTTCTCCAGTATCCGCCGGCCGTCGTAAGGGGCTGTTGACGGCGCCTCTCTCAGCCTGCCCCGCAATATAGCGGGCGCGGACCGACCAGTGTCAACAGAAGCGGGCAGTGCAGGCCGCCTGGCGCCTCCTCTTACCGTTCTGCTCAATATAGAACCTTCGCTGGCCAAACGAAACGCAATGAGTGTACTTGGACATGCATCGTGTATATTGTAATATAAGTATCACCAAATATATCGCGTAGCGCCGGGGCCAGAGCAGTATTTCACCGGAATGGAAATAGTGCAGCCGTGTCACTAAACCAACACAACCAACGCAACTCATGCAGAGTTTCACGCATTCGCAAACTCAAGCCAACAATAAAGGCTATCGCCTTCAAGCTTACATGTGCATTACTATGCCTCAGGCACGGATGAAATAAAATGCCAAAAACAGAAGAAAACATTCCCACGTAGACCATGTAGATAACAATAAAGCTGAAATATTTCATAGCACATTACCGACATCACTACTGCACGTATTTCGTCACGGGCACTATTAACACCACGATAAGCCCATTGGTCCATCACAGCTGACCTCGCCCGCACTCGTAACTAACCGGCACAGATCGCGGACACAGTCAAAAGACCCCGGTCTCCACGCACTGCCGGGCCGCGACCATTGCACCAGTCCAGCGGGCGGGCGCCGCGCGCGGCCGCTGGCGGCGCGTCTCGGACGCTAGGGGCGCGTCCCGGCCGCCCGGCCGCCTCACTCGATGGTGAGTCCCTCGAAGGAGACTGCCGTCTCGGCGGCGGCCTTGGCGCGGATGTGTTGCAGCGTGTTGGTAAAGTGCTGGCTGATCTGGGCCGTCTCGTCGGACGGTTCCAGACTGGGTAGGTCCTCGCGGATTTTGTCCAGCAACTGGTTCACCATGTCCACCGTGATCTGAGGCGGACACAGCGCTCAGCGGTCCGGCCACAGGCGGAGACAGGACAGACACAGGGGAGAGGAACTGCACGATCCAGAGCGAGAACTTCACAGGACACAGGGGAGCTTATGAAGTGCCGTGTGTCAATCAACGATAGAAGGGAATAGTTAACGAGAAAACAAAGCTGTTAAGTGTGGTCCATATCACATGACGAACTATACAATAGTGTAAACCAAGGCTTGTCATGTCAGCAGAATAATGTTGATCTCAAACGAAGTGAGATGACTGGCTTACCTCTTGGTTTCCCTGGGCGTAGAAGTAGAAGTAGGAGTTGAGCAGTTCAACCATGAGCTGGCACTGGACCGACGGATCCATACATTGGCTAGCCACGCGCAGTCCCTTCTTCAGACACTCGAGCACCCGCTTCCCGTCCCGCAGCTGGGCGAGGGCCGGGCGGGCCGGTCAGTGAGGGCCGGGCGGGCCGGTCAGTGAGGGCGGGGCGGGGCGGGGCGGGGAGTGGGAAGGGGTTCAGTCGCCGAAAGCGGTGGAGCGGCATGCCAGTGCCAGGTATGTAATGAGCAGTTTCAGTTGGGGCGGGTATGGGACTGTCAAGGACGCATGGTCAATGGGTGCGATCACTTGGCGGCGACTTTGTTCGTTTATTTTCTAATCGAAAGGGGTTAAGGCAAGTAAGCAGTGAGAAAGCTCCCGACTTCTTCGGCAGCTAAAGACAATCACGTTACGTTTAATCAGCATTCACCGTACGACGTGTTATGGCTAAAACTTATTGCACCGCTATCTAATGCATCAAAACTCCGATTTGCCTGAAAGTCAACAGAGTTCCATTTGCGGATATCTATCCCTGCTGTTGCACTCCAGCCTCCTACAAGACAGCACACAACCACCGGTTCCCATCCGAGGTCCCTCCGTGGGCACCCCGCCCGCACGCACCCCCACCGGCCGGCGCGGCGGTCTCACCTCCGTGCCGTCCTGCTGCAGGCCCGACCAGAAGAGGTGCGCGCACGTGGTGATGCCGCGGCACTGGTCGGGCTTCTTGAGCAGTTTGCTGGCGGCCAGCGCACACTGGGTGCGCAGTGGTGCGTGGTTCTCCTCGCCGAAACACGACATCTGCAGCGCGCACCGACAAAAAGTCAGAAAACGAGTGTGCGCACCAGGTTTGTTAGCTTTTCAAAATGGCTACAACTGGGCCTCCTGTTATCCTGAAGGAAGAAAAACCGTCTTCGGATGGAACCCAAATCAGCTAACAGCGCATCTTGATTCGGGGTTGCAGATGTTTAGCACGGATTTTGCGGAGGTTTCCTGGAACTTAGGCAACACTGTTAAAAAAGTATGCTTGGGGTAGGTTTTGACGTTACATTTCTGTTTGTGAACCATGTTTGCTGAACATTCATGGCGTCGTCACTGTCAGGCAGTTCCGTTCGACAGTTTCCCGAGGGTGATCGGGACTTTGTCCCCTCGATATCACTGTTCACTAGGGAAGGTAATGTCAGAGTTACTTACTCCAAGTACCGGAAACAGGAGCCGAAGCCGTGTGCCCATTGTTGATGTGCACGCCCGAGTTGTCGCGGATTTCAGGACGGAAGATTCGGGAGAGCATTACCCCCCCCCCCCGCACACACCTGCCCCTCCCGACTCGCTCTCACAGCTCGGTGGCACCGATTACCGGTGCGGTCCGACACGCGGCATTAGCTCCGACAGACGATAATGCCGCGGGGCTGGATCGGCGCTCGGCCTGCCGGCTTACGGTCCACGTCACCCCGCCCCGCCGACCGGTGCGCCAGGCACCCGCAGACGCACGGCGACAGGTCGGCCCGGGCGGGCACGCGCCGGCAGCACTGCGAGCTATTACCCCCAGTCCGGGAGACGCCGCCGCCGCCCAGTCCGCGGCTATTAGCGGCAGAAGCGCCAAAACCGCCGGTCGGCCGCTGCCGCGGCTCGGGCGGACGTCATCCGTGGTACAGAGGTGTGTTTGTCCGCCGTATCCATGGCAGCCGCCGCCCGCCGGCTTCAGCCCAGAGGCGCACACAAAGGAAAATGATCTCAGATATACCATACACAGTTATGCAATACATCAAACCAATGACTGTGGAAGACCCTGCTGCTCAATCAGACGGTAAGGAAAAGTGGGAATCTGCTCGAATGGCGGAACAGAGGAGAAGCGAACTTCATCTGTGGCTGCTGGGCAGTGACCGGTTCCTACCCCACACTCACAGGGAATAAAATCGTATACGTCCAGCACAGCCCATCCAGCAGCAGTCGGCCGCTGTGTGCTGCCGGCGCGGCGGGCCTCTCTGACAGCCCAGTAGGCCGCGGCGTGCTGCAGGCGCGGCGGGTCCCTCTGACAGCCCAGCAGGCCGCTGTGTGCTGCCGGCGCGGCGGGCCTCTCTGAGAGCCCGGTCGGTGGCCGGCCACCCGACACCGGCCAGTGCCGTTTGTCATTTACTCGGTAATGAGTGGCGCGACTGCGGCGAGTCGCGTTCGGTGGCCAGCTCGGTTCGTCTCATCAGGGCGCCGCGCCGCCCCCGACCGGTGCCCAAGCGGTGCCCCTGCTCTCCGGCGGCACCACGCCGTATCCACGGCAACCGTTACCGGGCACCGCCAGCCCGGCCGAACTGCCGGTGACGCGCGCCCCTCCCTCTGTTGTCACCGGTACGACCGAATGGTGCATTATTCCATACTGCCAATAGCGCGCGAGGTCCCGAGTCCCTTCCGATGACTGACGGTGGATTGAAATCAAAGGCTGGAATGGTATGAGGCGTCGGCAAGGTGCTCAGTGTCCAGGGAAGGTGTGGCGACATCTCTTCAATATTGCACGTAACTGACAGGGACAGCACTAGCGACCAGCAACACACCATCAGGCCAAAGGTGCATTGTCGGCGCCGCCAGCCACTACTCGTTGCAGCACCAGCTCGGAGGTGCAGCGCCGGCAGCACCAGCCGCCCGCCACCTTACACCGCAGGTGACGGGCTCGGCCTCGGGCCCGGTCTCGGCACGGGACCGGCCTCGGCGCCCGCTCGGCCTGGGTGTCTACCCACGAGACCCCTTGTAAGACGCCAGTCGCTAGTTGTGGCAGTAGGCTGACTATGGGACCCGAAACACGCACCACCAGTCACAGCTAAAGAGAGCACCGCACCCTAACACTCCAATATCGTGGCAATGGTGCAATGTTCGCCAGTTGAAATGAGCCAGGCAACAAATTGTGATGTCACATCTGCATCCTAGCATACCGGCCAGACTGAACCAGTCTGGCATCTGAGGAACTCTGGATCTGGGGCCAGACACGGCTTCATGGTGTCCAATCACAGGATCCCATGGAGCAGATGGCAGAAAAGGAGGAACCGAGGAAAGAGGACGGAAAAGGGAAGGGAGAGATAGAATAAAAAGAGAAAAGCAAAAGGAGTGAGACTTGAGGATAAAATGTAGAAGATAAAAAGAACATAAAATGGAAAAAGAAAATAGAAAAAGAGAAACGAAAATAAAAGAGAAAAAGAAACAGGAAAAGGGACAAAATAGTGATAAGATAAAAAGAAACATAACAGTGCGCTTGAGTGTCAATAAGGACGTTGCAGTGTCGATATGACCACAACTGACCTGTTTGGGCAGCGTTACAGTGTCGATATGTGACTGATCTGTGCGAGCACTGTCGATACGCCTGTAACTGACCTGTTTGAGCGTGCCGATGATGAGGGTGATGGCTGCCAGCTGCGCCTTACTATCCGATATCTCCTCCTCGTATAAGGTGAACGCCTGCCGACGGAGACGGAGGGAGAAGTCAGCGAGGGAAGCACGGCCGAAACAGGAGAGCACCGCACCGCCTCAGCACGTCTGCGGCCTGACGCAGTGCCACAGGCCGCCGGGGCGCCTGGATTTCCACACACTGCCTCGGGAGGGGGAAACGTGTATATGAGTTGATATTTCTTGAACCGTCATTGTATGCGGGAGCAAAATTTGCAAAAACCAGTTTGCCAACCAGTGCCGCAAAATCTTATCTACAGCATTTTAGGCGCAATTTCAAAAAGTTAAAGACCAAATTCAAAACGTTCATGTGCATTTTGAATGTAAACTTTTTGAATTTGGTCTTTAAATTTTTGAAATTGCGCCTAAAAAGGTGTAGAGCAATGGGCAATATTCGGCCTTGGGCTACTCGCGTTGCTACGCCAGACAGGCGGCGTGTATAGCAAAAGGTCGTCAAAAATAATCGAGAACACATTGAACACAAACAAAGTTTGCGCGGAAAAGGTGGATGATAAGGCGGGATAATTTTTAGATATTTGCGAGAAAAGATCTTATCGAAGATATTCAAACACCTCCCCCTAACAGGACAT